GTATGTAAAAACTTATTGAAATAGCGATTGGAGTCATTCAAAAACAATTTTTTAATCAATATTTATAGAATATGAGATAAGTATGTGTGAGAAGAGTTTTGTCTCGCCTTACATAAAATTTTTTATAAGTACTTATTAATGACTCCAAATAAACCCTAAGTAAATGATTGGATTTTGAATTTTAATATTTATATTTATAATAATTTAATTACTAGGTGGATTCTATTATTTTATTTGTCCCCGACACATCAAGAGAGAAACCTAATCTCTGTCATTGATAGTGAGAAAATGCACGATGATTATTAACTTTTAATACAGCAATCGTCTCGCGTGGAGGGATGAGACATGGATCGTATGGTCACAAAATGGATTGAAAACTTGAAATTAATATCCCGTCAGTTATTTAAAGTTGTTTATTCGACGACTTTTATGGTCTCTTTTTCTTTTCTTTTTTTTGTCCCCTACTCTACGTATTAAGTTGAATAGTCAGATTCAAAAGAAGAGAGTATTGACCATACTTTTGGAAAATGAAATTGGGATGCAAGGCTGTGCTTAATATCATGATTTTATTATCATCCATCCACAAGCAGGTTTAATAAGCATACATAATTTTCCAATTATTTAAAATTACATTGAGTTAACTATTTAAGATCTATGAAGTCAATGTAAATCATACTCAAAGCTTAAATCTCTTTAGTCGTGTATATATGTATAAGTATATTAGAATATACTCCTCCGGTCCCTTAAATAAGACTCATTTGACTAATTGATTAGATTAAGGAAGTTAGGTAAATTAGTTAGTATAAGAAATATGACACGTTTTTCCTAAAATACCATAACCATATTTCTTAATACCCCTCTCCCTCTTCTATTTGATTATGGTTGATGGATATCTATAGGGGTAACTGAGAGAAAATTGATAAATATGATAAATGGATCTTATATTTAGGACCAAAACTAACTCAACAATTAGGTTCTATATTAAGGACCGGAGGAGTAGATATTCATCATGTATGGGAAGACTCGTTCTCTCAAATAATAGACCAATTGTAAGTGTAACAAGTGACATTCGTATAACCATAATACCCGTCTCGTAACGGGATTTTTAAGAGTTGTTTAAGTGGTGGGTATATAATACAAATTTTTGAAGTCAACATTAATATATATATATATATATAAACGAAAGTAAATCTTTAGAAATGATGGGAAAACAATGGCAATAATGATAATATACGTATAGCATGAAGGAGCAGCATAGCTGTTTGATAAAAGATGTTTTTTACAGTAGTGGACAGAATAAGGGGACGATGGATCTATTACTATTTTAGTTTTTGCCACCTGCACTAACATCCAATAGTTTAGTTTACAACATCATTTTAACAAAAGTAAGTAAAAGTTAAACTCTTGATAAACTAATTCTCCAGGATAGTATACTCTTTTTTTGCAAACTTGTATTGATAATGAAAAAGCTTGCAAGAATGCTTTCGTTGAGATCTCTCAACATTTACGGACAGGGTTATTAACAGAATCATTTCCAAAACATACTTATGAATGAGTTTTACATTAATAATCACTCTACTCTCGATTTTTATGAAGTTAATGTGAGATGATGAGTGCAGAATAAGCAGGTTCGGATTTGCTTAGGAACTGCAACTTCAACCGATTTGCCTTCCTTATCAATGTCTTTTGACCCAACATTCATTTGACCATCCCCCTCATCATCTCCCTCACTTCTTCAATTATTACTTCATATATCTCTATATCTCGGTATATGTCGATCTCATCACTACCCCACACACCCAGATCCACCAAACAGCCATTTCCAAACCCCATTTAGCTTACAATCCAAGCAAACTGTTCAATTCAATTCAATCTCATACAACCATGTCGGTGGTTGTTTGGATTCACAACTACACCTTAACACTAAAATTCCATTTTCGAAGGAATCATATAGTTTACACAGAGACTGCCACCAACAAAATAAAAGATTTCTAAGATTTAATTAATGAATGAGCAACAAGACGAAAGATACACACGAAACGAGTATCAGTAAATATAATAATATTGGTTACCTTAATTAACTAGCTTTGCTCCACAAATTCGCCCATTTCATTGCTTAATCTACAGCTGCAGCAAAACGACCGCGTGATGTCGAAAACGACACAATGACACTTTACCAAACTGAACCCACCAACCACCCGCTTCTTCTCTTCTCTCTTTCAATCAGTCATCACTGTTCCTTCTGACCAGAGCAAAATACCCCAAAACGGCACACAGTGCGGCCACCACATTCCCTTCCTTCAGCAGAACCCTTATCACGAAACTCAAGATCTCCTTCGTGATCTTCCTGCCTTCCACCACCAAAGTCTTTCTCGGCTTCCCGAAGAACGCCAGCAACACCACCACCGTGATCCACGTCACCAACACGGCCGGCACCATCACCGCCAGAGCCGCCGCCATCGAGATCACCCCGAACATAACTCCGAGAAGCACCGACGCGTAAAGCGCCGGCCAGCTAGAACTCGAAGACTCTGCCTCTAAATTGTACCAGGAAAGCATCGATTTCAGGAAATTCCACGAACAGACGAGCAGGATGCCGTACACAAGCACGAAAATACACGCCCAGGTTCTCCTCTTGCTCATGATCCTCAGGAGGAACATGTAGGAAGACGGTGGCGACGACGAAGCTGGAGGCGTAACCGGTGTTTCTGGTCCCACCTCTTCGATCCTTGCCATTGACGGAAACAATCTGAGAAATTTTCCTCCCGAGTTGGCAACTTCTAAGCTTTATGCAAAGCTACTGTTTGATTGATTTGCCCGTTACCGTCCTTTTTCTTTGCAGGATTCTGACGCAGTGACTGTGACTCTAGTCGGGGAGTATGTGGGTTGTGTGAAGTTTCAGCCATCGACGCTTCGGTCAGTGACCCGCGCGCGGAAACGCGTCGACGGAACTCTCCATCTAGTTTTGCCACGTGGAAATTTATTGGGTCCTGATTGGTATGTGTTGCCACGCGTTTGGTGTTAATGAAGTGAAATCTCGCTGTAGTTTTGGGGATTCTGTGAGGGTGGAATGGGAATCCAAAGAGGAAGTAAAACACACGTCGTTTCTTTGGAAGTCTGAGCTCCAGGTCGGTAGTGCCAAAGCCCTGACTTGTAGACTTGCAAGACCTATGGTCTCTTTGCGGGCGAACACTCTGGCCCAATATTATCCTAAATTCTATACAAAATTTAGTTAATTAATAAAATTGATTATTTATCATTATTATGTAAAATTATGGTACACTTTTCTTAGGATACCATATTTTAATAAAGCTATTAAAAGTGAGAGATAAAGGGAGTGAGGGAAAAAAATTACAATTAATGAGGTAATGCCTGAAAAAAATATTAATTAAATGAAAGAGCTAAAGTATATCAATGTCATATAATATCCACGACTAAACTATATCAGTAAACTAAGTCCTACATTTAGAATAAAAAAAAATAACTTTTTTGTCAAAAAGAAAAAAATGTAGTAGTTAGTCCATAACGTGGGTGTGATCTTTTATCTTTGGTGATCCTTTTGTTTTCTTTTGACGCAAGGTATCATACTGCTAGGGTCATAGATGGCCGTAACATTAATGAACAAATTAAAAGCAAAGAAGCAATGTGGTGGTATCATTTATGATGTTAGAGCCTTTGAAATTGAAGCAAAGTTTAATATTGTCAAACTATGTCTACTGTTTGCTGTCTAGTATGAAAACAGTAAAGTTGATCAATAAGAATTGATTTGGTTGATAAAGAGTCAGCTTATAACTTATAAAACCATAAGTTTGAATTTAGCTACTGATACAAGGACCTTATTAGTAGGCAATCTGTAAGTATCTCTATAAGTGCTCTTTGAGTTTAGAGGTATGTCCTAATTCCAATAAGTCTCCAAGACCCAACTCACATAAATTTTTTTTTACAAAAAAAACCATAAAAAATCACAGTTATGCTTTTAATCTGCCCGTTTTCTTTTATATTTTACCATTTACGTAATCATAAATTAGAAATGTTATAGACTCTACATTTTGTTTAACAGAAGAAGAACCCAATCAATTCATGTTAATGGGACTTGTAAACTTAATACTTTCTCAAATTCTCAACATAGGGTTCAGTTTGTAATTTAGTTTAATTTGAGTTAGAGGCCACGTGTTATGTTAAGAAGCGAAGGTAGTAACCTTTAGCTTTGTTTTACTTCAATAGGTACAATACTTCATATGAAATTATAAAGCCCTTCTATATGTTGACAAAATACCACATCCAAGTTTTATGATTTTGGGCGGACTGTCCAACCGTGATTTTCTACCCTCAGAAGAAAAGATCCTTCCTTTTATGACCAGTTGGGAGCGAGGAGGCATTTGAATCTCTCGACATCAGATTCACAATCGCGATCTCTAATCCGCTGGGTTAAAGTCCTCACCTTACTAGCATATTCCCTAAAAGCAGGAAATATTTCCTCTTTTCAGCCATTTTGACTTAAAATGTGCGTGAAAGTTCTCCCACCCCCGTTCAAAAATTTCTCTGTATAAACAAATTAGTACCCGACAGTATTTTAACATGATTGTCTCTGATAAGAGGATATCAATACTTTAAAAAAAAACAAACAAACAAATGTTTGACAATTGATACATGACATTAATAGCATCTGTTCCTTTATATTTTTTGACAGAAAATATGTGGACTTCAAATAGAAACATATTTTGGATTGGGGGAGTGGAGGCAAATAAATGGGAAGTAGTGAACAAAAGTTGGAGTGGTTGAAAGTGGGGAATGGGCTTTGGTGAGATGAGTTGAGGTCATGTGATGAGTTGGTGGCCTGCAACACAGAACACAAACCAGCACAGTACAATATAATAGTAGCAGTGGAAAGACCACAACATGATGATCATATCCAACCACTTATTAAGACCAGGAATAGCAAAATTAGGTGAAAGCTTTCTCACTTTCTGGTCTCACGAACACAAATAAAATTGTAATTATTCTGAACAATATACTCATTGCCTGGTTTAGTGGAACACGTGTTGTGTTGCTCTCACATGAATACCAATCTATCCACCGCATTCAAAATCTATCAGTTAAAACCATCCGAGAGAAAAAGGCTTTTTAAGTGTAGTGGGGCAAATGTGGGATGGTTATAATAATGCCTCTGCTGATTTCATTTCATCCACCACACCCTCCCCCGCTTCACTCTCATTAATTATATTTTCTCCAGTGTACTTTATTACTAAATATAATAAGTGGGAAGCTCACTTAACATGTTATGCAATCCCACCACCTGATTAACTAAACAATTATATCTGTACTGGTTTGGTTAAAAAGTTAAAGGCCTGGTCAACATAACATGATCACACACAAGTCTAACCGAAACTCCACACACACACAACAATACACTTTTGTAATCTCTTCAACTCGTCAAATTATATCATCCAGATAAGACCATGTTTTAAAAATCTTTCGTGAGGAAAAAATGACATAACCTCACATATATATAAAATTCTATTGGATAACCCATAACTAAAATGTCGTCTTTATTATTGTTCATGTTTGAATTCAAACTAAAAGTTTTTTATACAAAGTCGCGAGGGGGCGAAATATCGTGGTTTGCAATTTGCGACATCATGGTGGCCCTACCTAACGTGTTCTATTTTCAAACTTAAAAAAAATGATGTTAAATAAATAAATAAAAGCATTGTATTCATTTGTTTAATGAGGGGTTCCTTTCCACTGTTTATAATGAATAACAATGCAACTTCCTACGACAAACTCTATCTCATCTTTATCTTTATGTATATGTAGAAAAGGTCAGAGCAAAATATAGAATGTTTGTTGCTTTTTGCAAATGAAGCTCAAGTTTCAACGACGATGATGACAACCGTTGGTGATGACACGAGGAAGCTTTTAAAAGATATAATATGGGTATTGGGAGAGGTATATCTCTTTTTTGTGCCTGCCTTTTTGTTTTTAATAAGCACATTGGATCCTTTTACTTTTCCTTTTGGGGTTCTGGAGATTAGGTATTCATTTGCACCTTATCATCATAAAATATGATGAGCATTTGCAAACCTGTTGCAGTGTTTAATCCAACCGTGGTTCAAACTAAAATAATGTGGGAATTGTTTTGTTTTAAAAATTATGAAAGTTTCACTTCCGAACATATATAGATCAGATAAAATCTGCATAGTCTGAACTATTTTACGTTTTTTTAAAAAAATAGTTAAATGTTGTTTTTTTAATTAAAAATTAATGTGCAAATTTACTACTTATTATTATTTTGCCATGTGCATCCGATATCATAAAATTTCTTTAATTATGTAACAATATAGATAAACATTTTTAGATGGAGCAAAATTATGGTATAGCTTAGCTAACATCTGTTATTTTATAACGTTTGAACGTCAAGTAAGTCCCATCACACTCAAGTGAGCAATAATATGTTTAGACAGGAGATATTGTAGTGGAAAAATTGCCAAAAAAAAAAAAACTGCTGAAGTAGAAAAATTACAAATAGGGACTCGTTACAATATTAGTATGTGTTTTGACAACAATTTTTATGAACAGATCTTTGTGTGTAATTTTTTAATTTTAGTGATCTTTTTTCTACGATTTATCCTATTGTATTTTTGCTCCATTTAAAATGTTTCCCTGTATTGTTATTAAAAAAATTATGTTAGATGAGTGTAAGAGAATGCTTTCCTTTAACCTTTATTTTATTTGTAATTCTACCTATTAAAACTAAAAAGATTATTAAAAATATATTTAAAAAATAAAAAATATTGCATCTGTACTATTCAATTTTAATACCCACTCCAGATTTATGGCTAGCACCTCATGGTTGTTATTATGTAGGAATATTTCGCTTTCCATCTTTGAAATTTGAACTAATCATCTTTATTGAGTTGTTACGTGGACTGCGTGTTCAAATTATGATTTTTATTACAAACCAAAAAAAACAAAAGAAGAAGAAGAAACTTCTCATCAGATAAGAGTGCCGTTTGGTCAAAGCATTTTGCCACGACTACAAAATTATACGTAATTTAATTTCATTTATTTCCGGGTCACATCCTGATCTTGCTCGCCAGGAATAAAAAATTCCAGTTAAAAAAATCCCACAATTAATTAAAAAAATTTATCAGACCAATTTTTTTAGCATCCTAAGCGATCATGTGTGTGTCTTCTTTTATATATTTGGAGATCTAATTTTATTTTTTTAAAATCATGGCCAAAAATTTGATTTTAAAAAACATTAAATGTAACTTTTCTGAGTATGATTCAAACAAATAGAAAAAAAAGAATGAGAAACCTTAATATACCATGCATCTGACTTTTTTGTGTGGCAATTTTATGAAAAAACCCGCACAGAAAATAATTTAACAAATTCAAATCGATATGTAGTGTTTACTAATCTAAAGGGGAGAGAGATGAACAGCCAAATTTTGTTCCTAGTGAAGACGGAAGAGAGAGAAAATAGTATTATTTAATTATTAAATAATTTTTAAAAACGCGTTTAATACAGAATTAAAAATGAGAAACAGAACTCAACTACCTGCCTGGAACGCAAAGCCGACGCCAATCGTTTCAACGACGGAAAGAGGAAGCAGGATGGGGAGTCATACACAGTATAAAAATTGGAAATTTGATAAGAGAAAGAAAGAAAGTGGAGCCTTTTGACCGAGCCCAGCCGGCAAAAGCCGTCTACGAGACTATAATGCTCTTTTAATTTCATGAATACGCGTTGGACTTTTCTGCTGTGCTTAAAGCCATACCCCCCAACTTCTTTGTTATTACGCTTCTGATCTATCCCTTTCCTTACGCTCAATTTGAAGCTCTACTGCGAGGTATATTCAATCGCCACAATCCCATACATTGCTTTCCTCTATTTACTTTTTATTTTTCAGAAGGTTTTTATCTTCCAAGTTTGCCGCTCTTTGTGCCGGGTTATTGGAGAGTTGCGTGTTTGATTGAAGTCAGTGACCTTAGAATTTGGTCAGTTTGAAGATTTCAAAGAGTTGGATAAAGCTTGAGTTTTTGGATTCATGGTCAGTGCTTTGACAGATGGTTATAACATAATATGGGTATGAGCCTATGGGCACAAGTTCAATTTTTCCTTTTGGACAAATAGAATTGGTTTGTAACTGCGCATGAATCGTTATGAAGGAGTTGATCGAAGCAGAAACTTTAGCTTGTGAGCACCTGAGCTTTGCTTTTGAAGCGTGAAATAGTTATAAATTAAAATTAGC